AACCTACCTACTGCTTGCCCCTGGACCGCCTCGCGCCAAGCCGTCTGTGGTGAAGCACATCCTCGTGGGTCGGCAGTCTATCGTCATAATCGAGATTTGATGAGACGCGCTCCTCCTTTTACTTGCACGGCTTAAGACCGCAACTGAAGCTGCTCGGCACGCGATATCCTGGTCACAGATGGTTGCACCCACACGAGCATTGCCTGTTTCGGGCATGTCGAAACTGACCCGTCGACGAACTCCATCCACGTCCATCGCGTGTCTTTGACCACCCGCAAGCAATCAGCTCACACTAATCATCTCATGAGCCCCACGCTCACGCGTCTTTCGCATGGTGGGTACTCTATAGGAGACCGTCGCGCAACGTCGGTTCCAGCAGGCGTAAGCGGCGCAACCAGTTCCACAGAGCGCCCTTGCGTCTCGCTCTACAGCCTCAAATCGCCGTCAGATTCGAGTCAGATTTCAACAGTTTGCGATCTTCGAAACTCGCGACCGCTGTTTCGACGCGTCTGCACAGGATAATAGCTTCTATTACTCGCAAACCATACAACAATGCGTCCTGTCGTTTCTGAAATTGCCAATTCTGCAGCACAGACGGAGCGCGAGTTGGGGGCCGTCTGCAAGCCTGTCCCAGAAAGCTTCCGTGATGACCTTCCCTTACAGTCCATTTGCGGGGTTGCCAAAGTTGACCCGGTCGCTTCTTACGAGGCGCCGCCTGCAGACTAGGATCACTGTAACACGCGCTTCGATGTTGCAAAGCAGCAGTCAACCTGATGCACACAAAGTGGAGAGCATATAGTATTGATTTATCATGCTGATGCCGCGTCTGCAGTAAGGAACGCGACATCAAACCAGCCTCTTGAGCCTCGGGCGTACCTCAGCCCTGCATGTTCTGTCGCTATTTGCATCAGCAGTCTGCGCATTGGCATCGGGCCAACCAGTCCGAGCAGTATGATGTGATTCGGTTATGGAGATGCGGCTGGGCCGGGCTCATCATTTCCTGGCGATGTATCTAGCGCGATCTTTCGCGTTTTCAGCATCCTACGACAAAAGCATAAATCTAGCGCGACCATCTGCAACTCTCTTCCTTGTTTTCGATCCGGCTGCATCTGCCTTGACCCTACGCTGCAACTAAAATAAGCCGGCATCCGCGGACCATGACGGTTCCAGCCTCCACTGCAGCTCAGCACGGTATTATGTCACAGTCGCGAAGAAACGCGTCTTAAAGTGCCTGAGCCTACGGCACGCGACCACGCGTGCGATGAAACTTTTACGATCCAGTCTATATTTGATTCCGCTCCGGGCTACATGCCCTCGCATGTCCGATATTGAGCCAAGCCGATGGAGAAGGCCGTTGCATTCTGTGGATCTGGCCCGGCGCAAATACTTTACTTCCGCAAATTTGCTCGAGATCTTCGTCACTATGCGGACCCGTAGACGAGCGGTATGACAAGACGTCAATCGCCTTGCTGCAGCTGCTGCAGTAACGACGGAGGCCGTCGAAGCCTCCAGAAAATAGTTCCCGTGATACCGGCAAGTTGCTGCGAAGGGGACCCCTAACCTTCAGCTTTAATCGTTTGCGGTACCCGCTTTGGACACAGCATACTTGTCAGATACCTGTGCATACATGTGCGACCACGGCAGCAAACTTTTCATCATTTTGAACATGGCTGCTCATCGCACAGTGCATGTCTCAATACTCAACGAAACGCTTACGTTCGGCGGTGTGGTGAGGCGTCATGATCAGCGACGGTCACAACCTCTTACACACATTCCCGTTCCACGGTTGATGACACGGCCGACCCCGCCTAGGCCCAAGCTCTCAGTGTTGGACCGAATGCTTCATCGCGAAATTGTCGCGAGAGCTACTTATCCGCCTCCTGAATTGCTCGGACAATCGCGTGCGCGTGTGTACCGCGTGGATTCATGCTCGTGACAACGTGATGATCAGGCACTGTCGCGTCCCATGAAACACCTACCACGCGTTTTAAATGCACTAAGCTTTCAGATCAACCCGACGGGAGCCTTCTCATAGCTTCCCCGAAAAGCCAGGCACATTGGCAAACGGCGTGAAAGTAAATCGCGGATGTCGAAGCGCTTCCAACCCAACGGGAACTTCATGACGTTGGTGTTGAAACATTAGCCGTGGTCGGACCACCACGGGCAAATCTAATTCTGACCTGCGAAATCATGCCGCAAGCATCGCCCAGACCACCTCCTGTGAGGCAAAATTCTAGAATTCACACATCTGGTATGGTGCATAGCCCACATCATTGCGCACCTTTTCGTTGTGTTACATGCTTAATGGAGGGCTGAGTCAAGGATCCTGCAATACCACACACCTCATTCGCAAGTGTACGGCAGCTTAAGAGTTGAACTGACTAGAGTGGTCGCTTCTCCATCGCTCAGATACTCCAAGAAATTTTCATACACCACAATTGCTATACTGATCTCCATCGTGGTTAGATCACAGGACCCTCCTGAGACTGGCTCAGAAGTGGCACCCCCTCCCCACACCCCCCCGGGGGAGGGTTGATAGATTTTCTTGGGGTTCTTTGATTCCTGGGCAAATCATCTAGTTAATGTAAACTTTTTATTTTTTTCCTTCTACAAGCCGCGGGCACCAGCCCCCCATTCACTTCTTTAGACTTAAGATGATATGGACTCCGTGCCGACTACTCAGCG